GATTCCAAGTAGCGAAGAAATCTTAGGGCCTTCCCTTGTGTCTTTTTCCACGATGAGTAACTTGTATTCAGCAGGGAAGAGAGGGGGAGGCACATCAATTATACAGAACTATTTTCTGGAAAACCCAAGTGTCCATTTATCCTTCTCCCTTGGCGTGTGCGGGGGAGACCACTTAGTCATTACTAATAATGTCAAATAGTACAAAATGCCAACATGAAATACTTTTTTTTTTTTTGAGACAGAGTCTCACTGTGTTGCCCAGGCTAGTGTGAGTGCAGTGGCGTCAGCCTAGCTCACAGCAACCTCAGACTCCTGGGCTCAAGCAATCTTCCTGCCTCAGCCTCCCGAGTAGCTGGGACTACAGGCATGCGCCACCATGCCCTGCTAATTTTTTCTATATATGCTTAGTTGGCCAATTAATTTCTTTCTATTTTTAGTAGGGACGGGGTCTCGCTCTTGCTCAGGTTGGTCTTGAGCTCCTAACCTTGAGCAATCCACCCACTTTGGCCTCCCAGAGTGCTAGGATTACAGGCGTGAGCCACCATGCCTGGCCAACATGACAGTACTTTTGAATACTGACGGAGACCTGTAAGGTAACTTGGGCACAACTTTAAAGCCACGAGGCCTCCAGTTTGTCTTACTGGAACAAGTCACTTCCCTTTAGATTCCCATAAAGCCGCAAAGCTGATGACAAAAAGTGAATGTCATTTCCTACTTGTAAGGAGAGAGGAAACGAAGTCAGAGAGCCCTAAGTTCCCTGAATGCCCAACCAACCAGTATTCTGTGAGAAGAGCAAACTCCATCCCCTTAAACTAGGTCCCTTGGTCACCATTTATGGGGCTATTTAGGGCCTTGGTATCAACTGTGATCATGCTCTATAGCAAAGAGACATACCTGGTCGTCTCAGGAGAGAAGATATCTTGTTGTATTTCTGATATAGCGCCTTGAGTTCTTGAAGGAAAAATACCAGAAAGGTTTATGTCAGTGCCACGACTCTGGTGCTCCTGCGTGCGTTCTAAATCCTGAGGATGGCTCAGGAAAGGTTTACAGACTAAAGCCAGGGAGTACAGGTTTTATATTAATGAAACGTCACCGACAGCTTTTTTTCTTCCCTTTATGAAGGGCCATTCCTAAATGCAGCAAATCAACCACATACGGGACTTCGTACCCTTCATCCCTGAACATTTTCAGCCTTTCTTAGTGAATTAAGGGACAAGGGAAGATGCTAGCAGATGCTTTCTGAAACTGACCCATAATTATCATGAAACCGACACACAATAGCTTTGCTTCCAAGCTGTCCTTAGCTGTTTGTTGGAGGGTTTGTGCCTGTTAGCTTTGTTCCATTTGGATGGGTTTTGTTTTAAGGATTGTTGCTTTTCATATGATCTGGCCTTGCTGTGTAGGGACCCTTCTGAGACTCTCTCTAGGCCAAATGCAGACAAACTCTGTGTGTGCTGGGGATATGACAAGAGCGTCCACGTGCCTGCCAGTCTGTCTCAGAAGTCCTACGGTCGTAGTGGGGTTTGCGATCTCCAAGCCTCTTCAGAATGCCCTGGTTTTCCACGGTGATTCTCACTAGCTCACGGTTCCTCCATTCTCTGTTTAAGCTGAAAACACAAAAACCTCGAGATAGGTGAAGAAGGAAATGCTCCTCTTGGATGGGAGTAGGGGAGGAGATGAAGTCATGATGTCATAAACTCCTGGCCACCTAAGTGCAGGGAATAAACTGCCCTGCTGAGCCCTGAGGCCTCCGGGGCAGCCCACTGAACCACACTGCACTCTGGGAAACGTGCAAACCATCTACAGGGTTATGTCTGTGGTCCTCAAATGTGCTGTCCACTAGAAGATTCTACTTTATTGGTCTGGGGTGGACCTGGGACATCTGTATTTTGTAAATCTTGACACCACCACATCTTGACACCACCCACCCAGCATAGACACTCCACCAAATTCTAACCCGTGCATACACTTCTTTTGTAGCCCTGACCACACCGCACTGGTATTTACATAAATACATGTCTCCCCTCTAAGATCTTGAGTTCTTTGAGGTTAGGAAATATAAATGTCATTTCCTCTTTGTATTCCTGGTGCCTGGCAGATAGCAGTTGCTCAGACTATGTTTGTGGAGCTGATTTTAAAATGTGTGTCATAGTCCCAGCTAAGGTGCTGGGTCTGAATGTCTGTGTTCTCTCTCACCGTCTCCCCCATTCATATGTTGAAATCCTAATTCCTAAGGTGATCCTATTAGGAGGTGGGGCCTTTGGGAGGTGGTTAGGTCACCCTAGTGGAATTAATGCCCTTATCAAAGAAGTCTGAGAGAGACCCCTTGCCCCTTTGTCATGTTAGGTTATAGTGAAAAGATGGCTGTCAGGGAAGCTGGAAGCTGGCCCTCACCAGACACCAAATTTGCTGGTGCCTTGAACTCCCAGACTCTAGAACTGTGAGGAATAAATTTCTGTTTTTATAAGCATCCAGATTATATATTGGACTAAATATTGGACTAATTCTATAATGGACTAAAGCACATGGTCTTGGATTTACACTCTAACACCATAAGAAAAAAAATAAGAATATGAATAAAATTTAAAAAATAAAAATAAAAAAACAAAGCACATGGTCATCATTTTACAAAAGTGTGCAGTGAATTCTTATGACAAACTAAATAGGACTCTGAAAAGTCTGTTAGATGAAATAAAGGTTAGCTCTTCACTGCAAGGAAAGGTCCCATTTGTGAAGTTTTCCTTGTCTTTAACGTGGTCTCTTTGGTTATCCCTCTAGGTAACTTCCCTTACGTTCTCCTCTCACTTGGGAGACCTCACATTAAAACCCAAGGGAAGGTCAATTTTGACTTTCCAAAAATGAAATGAAGAGAAAGAACACTACCTCTTGGTAAAATATTCATTCCAGCAATCCACCTTGGCAGGGCCTCGTTGGGCATTCGCAATTTTCTGGCATAGTTGCTTATTTTCGTACTCGATTTTGTCGATTTTCTTTTGTTCACCCTGGGGAGAAACCGCACCCCACCATGGAGACATCGATACACTTCCTCCAACACACCATGGCTTAGCAGCCCCTTCTCTGGGATTGTGGGAAGGGGGCACACTGAGGACCACAGTGGGGACTGGAGGCAGAGCTTAGGAAACTGGTGATGTGTATGGGAAGAAGTATTAACACATCATTGAATTGGGCAGGTATTTAGAAGGCTTTGGGAAATTGGACCTCTTTAAAAAATAGGGTAAAAATCAATAAAATACATCCGAAGATGGCAGGAACAAATACCTGTAGTTTGCTCAATTTTAAAATGTGATGTGTGTGCGCCATTGGAGGTTTGGTATCAATAGTAGGCTTCGCTAGAAGAAGGATAAAAAAGAGTGGTGTTATATCACAAGAATCCCAATGCAGCCTCAGAAAACCAACTCACATACAGGCAATGACCCTGGCTAATGGATGATTTTGAATTATGACCTTAATCTGGTTCAGAAATTTTAGTTTGGTTTAATTTCCCAAATGGACATCTCTGAAGAGTTTTGAGCAGAAATGAAAGAATGCTGAGGACTAGAAAAAGTAAAATTTACAGAGATAAATGTCCTTTTTATTTTATTTTAATTATTTTTAAAAGATGGAGTCTTGCTCTGTTGCCCAAGCTGGAGTGCAGTGCAGGATCATAGTTCATTATAACCTTGAACTCCTGGGCTCAAGCAATCCTCCCACCTCAGCCTCCTGAGTAACTGGAACTATAAGTATGTGCCACCCTCCAACGCCAACTAATTTTTCTACTTTTTTTTTTTTTTTTTTTTGAGACAGAGTCTCGCTATCTTGCCTAGGCTAGAGTGAGTGCCGTGGCGTCAGCCTAGCTCACAGCAACCTCAAACTCCTGGGCTCAAGCGATCCTCCTGCCTCAGCCTCCGGAGTAGCTGGGACTACAGGCACGAGCCACCATGCCCGGCTGATTTTTTTATATTATATATATTAGTTGGCCAATTAATTTCTTTCTATTTTTTTATGGTAGAGACGGGGTCTCGCTCAGGCTGGTTTTGAACTCCTGACCTTGAGCAATCCGCCCGCTACAGGCGTGAGCCACCGCGCCCGGCCTTAATTTTTCTACTTTTTAATAGAGATGGGGACTCGCTATATTGCCCAGGCTGATCTCAAACTCTTGGCCTCAAGTGATCCTCCCATCTCAGTCTCCTAAAGTGCTGGGAATATGGGCCTGAGCCACTGTGCCCAGCCCAAATGTCCTTTTAATCCAATAAAAGAGCCTCTTTCCCCCCTTTTCCCAATATTATTAGTCTATCCATGGGGTTCTGAAGGCCCATCTTCTTTCTAATCTACTTTGGCTTTAAAGAGTTTAAAATGAGTGTTTCCATCAAATGAACTCCCTGGTGGAAGATAAATTTTGTTACTGATGCTAATGTCCTCTTCACCAAACTTAGTAGATAAGGCCATATCATCCCAAAGCCACGTCCTGGTCTGGTTTACTGTCAATATCTCCATGGGGGACCCTTCCAGAATCCCTGAGAACAGTGGCCAACCCAAACTGCCCACGTACCTATTTGGATTCTATTCTTGTGAGATAGGTAGTGACCTAAGTCCAGTTTCTTTCTGAAGGTTGTGCTTTGCCTATGATTAGAGACGATAACAGGGTAGGCCAGATAATCCAGGGAATTGTTCATCTTCTCTTCCTAGTCCTACTTCAGAAATGAGGCACCCAGGCTCCTCTGTGAGGTGCTTAGCTGTCCCCATGGCAGGTTGTCATAGCTACCCAGTTATGACATCAGAGACCAGTCTCAGGAAGGGAGTAGGAGCAGCAGAGCATGGCTTCTGTCTCTGGGCTTCTGTTTTTAATGCTAACCTAGGCCTAAGTCAAGATGAAGGTCAAGGAACTCACAAGGTTTTCCCCTTGCCTGCAATGCAGTTGCTGCCAACCCAAACAGGAAGGAAAGGAGTGGTGTGCTGGGAGGGGTGGGAAGGCATGGGCTGGGGGTAGGGGATTGAGAAATTCCAATCTTGGATACCCATCTCCTGTTGTAAACCAAGCAGTCTCCACTGCAGTGGTTTCCCTGAAGGTGCGAGATCACAAGCTTTGTGGGGAGGGGTAAGGTCACCTTGACAATGATAACCTGATCCATTCCCTTCATTTTGCAGATGAGGAAACTCAAGTCCAGAGCAGCAATGAAGCTCCTCAAGAACCAAGTTGGTGGCAGAGCTGGGCTCAGGATGTGGGTTCCCTGAATTCCAGAAACCATATTTGCTCTTTTGGGGAAGGGAACTGCCATTTTTCATGGCAGTGGGGGAGGGCAGCTTTCTTCTAGGACAGAGACTGTGTCTTTTGAACTTAGTGGGAGCTCGGGAAGAGCTGGGGTGCTGATACCACGTGGCTCCTGGTGAGCTGGCAGCTGCTCCAGGAAGGGCTGCAGGGTCTGATTTAGCAGCACAGGGTGTAGCACCCAGTGGGTGCTCGACACATTCGCTCATGCAGGGAGGAAGGGCTAACACTGAGTGCTCATTATGTAGTGCTGGGCGCTTTCCTTGAATGTCACATTTAATTCTTCCAACAACTGTAGGAGTTAGCTACTATTATTATCCTGATTTTTTTTATCTGAGCAAACGGCTCAGAGAGGTTCATTCCCCAGGGTCAGAATTCTAAGCCTGGCTGCATAGAGCCCAAGCTTTTAAGCACGATGCTGACTGTCCATGAATGTTGAAAGCAGATGTGCCCCAAAGTAGGGCTTCCCAGACCCTGCCCTTCGTAGGGATCTCGTGGCGTGGGTAAAATGAACGTTCGTGTCCAGCACGGGAGGGCAGGGCGGAGACCGCGTTGCTGGCAAGGGCCGGGGAGAGGCTAACACTGCTGGTGGGCAGCAGGGGGCAGCTCACACGCGGAACCCGAGTGTCCCTGTAATCCCGAATAAACAAAGCCACACCTCGGTGTACATTTATTAGGTATATTTATTGCTCTTCCATTTGGCTCCGTGAAGGAAGTTACTGCACTTCCCAGTTGACAAAGATGCACAAACTGCCTTTGGTCTGGGGTAGGGAGAAGACCCCCGAGGGTCAAGAGTGGCGGCGTCTCGCCCCGCCCCGGGGGTCTCGCGGACGTCTGCTCTGCGCGGGCGGCGCATCCTCCGGACGTGGAGCGCGGGTGGCCCCGCGTCACTGCGCCCGCGCTCCGCAACTTCCCGCGCCCGGCGGGCCCGCCCCCGGGGCGGGGCGGGGCGGCTCCGGCAGGCGAGCCCCCGCCCAGCTGACCCGCCGCTCTCCCCCCAGCTCGCTGCGGCCCCGGCGCGCGGGGCCCGGCAGGCGCCATGTCGGGCCCGTTCGAGCTCTCGGTGCAAGATCTCAACGACCTGCTCTCGGACGGCAGCGGCTGCTACAGCCTCCCGAGCCAGCCCTGCAACGAGGTCACCCCGAGGATCTACGTGGGCAACGCGTGAGTCCCCCCGCCAGCCCACCCCGCCGCCCGTGCCCGGGGCGCCCCGCCCACCCGGAGGTTGGGCCGGGGGAGCCGGCGCGGGCGCCCGTCCGGGAGCCGGGGGTGGTGGGGAGGGGGCTGCAGTCGACGCCCACCCTCGCGCGTGGGGCCGAGGGGCTGGACCGCGGCCCGGCCCAGCGCCGTCCTTCCCCGTCGCCGGAACCCCAGGGACGCCGGGCCGCGCCCTCAGCCGCCACCCGCTTGGGGCTCGGGCTCGGGCGGGGTCGGGGCTACCATGTTCCCTTAACAGGTGGCCCTCTGTCGCCCGGCCGGTCTTCTGCCCGCGCGTCATGTGACAGCTGCCTGGTTCTGCAGTGAGGTCACCGCGGAATGTCTGCCTTCGCCGCCATGGCAACGGGCTGACGTCACAATCCGGGCTGGGAGCTTTCCCCCGCCCCGCAGGCGCAGATCAGGGACTCTAAATACCCCAATTGAGGGAGTCCTGAGAGCTGGGCCCGGATTTCTGGCCTCTTCTCCCACTTCTGGCTAGGGTTTGATTTACGTGAGATCTTAGAACGATCCAGTGATAAACCCCTAAGGACCTGAGCTGTCACCTAGAAAAGGTTCTAGGCCTTCTCACCTCCAGGAAATGCGTTTCCTATTTATTCCTTACAGGTTCTTTTGTCAGATTGATTTCTCCATTTTCTCTTATTCAAACTGCTAGTAAGAATTTCTCCGCAGCAGGAGAGAACCAGTGTAAACCAGCCTGAAAGGCGCTGAAATACCAGCCAAAGGAAAGAATAGATTAGCATGCCCACACTGCCATCTCCGAAGACCCAGTGACCAAAGTCCTAAGCTCCACGGGCGCAGCCAAGGGGGCATGTTGAAAACCCAGAACGAATCCCTCCTCTCTCCCATTTTATACAGGAAGAAATGGTGGCCCATAGTGGTTGAGGGATTGTGAGGACAGGGTCAATGTCTCATTCATGTCTGTATCCCCTGACCTTGGCTAGGACCTGCTGCTTAACCTGCCAAGGGCTGCCACAGAAATCTGGGTCATCATGAAGCTACAAGGGGTCCAAGAGGCAGGCCCCAGCCTCACAGGGACAGGTCTTGTCTATTCCACCATTCATGTAACAGTTTGGGTACCTACTATGTGACAGGCACTATACAACATTCATGCATAGCAGAGGCAGTAATAATAATAATGGTCAATTTGTTGAATGTTGAATTAGTATTAGAGAAGGGAGATGAATGGGAATTACTCTTCAAAGTGTTTTTTTCTAGCAGCCACTGTTTTATAGTCTTTTGCATGAGCAGGAGTAGCTAAAACAAAGTCCCATAGTCCCAGCCAAAGACCCCAGTAATTGCAGAGTTCTGGGGATACCCTCCCCACCCCAGCCCCCAACTACCCAAGCAGCAAGTGGGCTTCAGCAGCCTCAGGATCCCTGCTCTCTTGGGCATTTTGGTCACTCAGCTGTCACTGCTTCCCAAGTAGAAACCAAGGGTGTGAACATCTGGCGGTAGCCAGAGTGGCAAGTGCTGATGGCCACTGTAGAAGAAACGTCCCTTGCCCTCTAAGGAAATCTGACCTTGACTTAGCCAGGGGTGTGGGGGTGCTCAGCAGGGAGGACCAACTGAACACCAGGTACCAAGAGAACCTGGACTCCCCCACCTGTTGGGAGTCCCTTAATATCAGGGCTCCAGGCATGTCCTCGCAGGGCAGAAACAGCCTGTGTGAGCCACCTTTGCCAGGTCTCAAGGTTTTGAGTGGATGTGGGCATGAGAGCAGAGTGAGGTGGAGCACAGAGCAGGGCTGGGTGTTGGGGGAAAGGAGGTTTCCTCCCTGCTCTGCCATCCGCAGCCCATGGGAGCACATGCATGTCCCTCCACCTGTCCTGTCAGGCCAGAGCTCTGTCGTATGGTAATATTGCAGTCCTTCCTTCTTCACAGGGCTGCTGAGCTGGACAAAGGAGATCACGTAGGAGGTGGCGATTTGTAAAGTGTAGACTACTGTTTGAATCGGATTGTTTTGTGAGATGAAATAAAGGGGCCCTTTGACCATTCAGATCACGTATTTTGTAACCACCATAGTTCTGTTGGGGCTGCTTGCTCCCCAAGTGCTAACTCACCTGTGAGAGCCCCAGAAACATGGCCTGTGGAGTGTGGTAGGAAGGATCTTTCTGTGGGTGGGAGTGGGACTGCCTGGCATGTGATGATTTCATTCCTTTTTACTCATTCATCCCCTATTTATTCAGCACCTACTATGTGCCAGGTATTGCAGCAGGTACCTGGGGAGACAGACCTGAAACAGATATGGTTCCTCCTCAAGGAGCACGTAGCCTGGACGTCTAAACAAAGGAGCACTGTCAAGCATTAGAATAGTAGCATCACTATGGTGTCAGGCTCCATCAATGGAATAGCCCATTGAACACTCGTAACAACCCCAGGGAGTAGTCACTGTTATTACCCCCATTTCACAGAGGGGGAAACTGAGGCACAGAAAGGTTAAGTGTCTTGCTCAAGGTTGCTTGGCTGGTGATGGGGCTGCATCCAGACCCAGGCAGTCTGGCTCCAGAGCGTGTTGTTGTTGTTGTTGTTGTTGTTGTTTGAGACAGAGTCTCACTTTGTTGCCTGGGCTAGAGTGCCGTGGCGTCAGCCTAGCTCACAGCAACCTCAAACTCCTGGGCTCAAACGATCCTCCTGCCTCAGCCTCCCAAGTAGCTGGGACTACAGGCATGTGCCACCATGCCCAGCTAATTTTTTCTATATATATTTTTAGTTGGCCAATTAATTTCTTTCCATTTTATAGTAGAGACGGGGTCTCGCTCTTGCTCAGGCTGGTTTCGAACTCCTGACCTTGAGCGATCCTCCCGCCTCAGCCTCCCAGAGTGCTAGGATTACAGGCATGAGCCACCTCACCCAGCCCCAGAGCCCGTTTTTAACCACTTGGCCATCCCACCACCACAGGAGAGGGAGATGGTGCCAGGTGGGATGGAGGGGAGATGAGGAAGTCTCCCAGAGGGTGCGTGTCTACAGAGGTGGGGTAGGGCATTCCAGGCCGAGAGGACAGCGTGGGCGCGAAACCACCAGTCTATTTGAGGAATCTGCTGGTAATGCGATGCGGCGGAGTGCAGGGAGAGATCATATGATGAGGCTGGAGCAGCCGGCAGGCCCGAGGGTTCCTTGCTTTGCCAAGAGGCTCAGAGCCTTCCCCACCCTCCTCCCCCTTGGCTTGCCAGTTGGTCCGTTCATCGTCCCTTCCCACTGTCTCCTGTCCAGGTCTGTCGCTCAGGATATCCCCAAGTTGCAGAAACTGGGCATCACCCATGTCCTGAATGCTGCTGAGGGCAGGTCCTTCATGCACGTCAACACCAATGCCAGCTTCTACAAGGACTCTGGCATCACCTACTTGGGCATCAAGGCCAACGACACGCAGGAGTTCAACCTCAGCGCCTACTTCGAAAGGGCTGCAGACTTCATTGAGCAGGCCTTGGCTCAGAAGAACGGTAAGGGGCCTGCCACCCAGGAAAAAACGGGAGCCCGCTTTGACTGGACTGTCCTTCTAGAACATGGGCCCACAGCAGGTCTTGTCTTAGAAACCCTCTTATTTTGAGTCTCCCATAGTAAATGACCGGGAGCCGGGGCTTGCTCTCTGCTCACCTGGCTGCCTGTCAGCTACAGGACACGAGGTGTGTGGCCCATGCACGCAGTGGCAGCTCCAGGCCCTAGCATTTGATTTGACTTTGGCTGAGGGTTGGTTTCCAGCCACTTACACATCTTCCACCCCCAATTCAGACAGCCTTACTAATGAGGAACATTTGTCATTGTCCATGATAGAAGTCCCGAGGTGAAGGAACCAGGGCTGATTGATTGAGCAGCTCAGTGGTGGCATCTGGGCCAGGTTCTTTCCCTCTCTCTCCCCTCATGGTCCCAAGATGGGATCCGGTCACCACATCCCAACAGGACAAAGGGCAGCAGATGAGGCAGCCATCTCTTCCCACGTTTTTGTCTTTTTTTAAGGGCAAGGACAGCATTCCCCAGGAATTGCCCTTGCGTCTCCCTGGCTAGGGGCTAGGTGTGGCCCCCAGGCCAAATCTTCTAGCACTTTTTTAAATGCTTCCTGCAGCCCCAAGTATGAGGAAGGACTGCGGGAGAACTGCCCAGGTGCTGGCAGGGGGACAAGGCTTTCCGGCAAGAAATCCTAGAAGGCCACAGGGCAGACAGCAGCTAAGCAGGCTGGGCCACTTGCCCTTTCTGCTTTGAGCTGTTTCTGTCGGCTCCTCTCTTGACCTCTTCCTCCCTCCCCACCACACGCCCTCCCAGGGGAGGTGACCCCCATGCGCGGTGATTGGCCTTGTCTCTGCTACGCCCACCCGCCTCCCTACCCTCGTGATTTCCAGTGGACACACTTTATGGGGCACTGGCTGGCACGTGGCCGGGCTTTGGAGAGGAGTTTTATTTGCTGGGGAGTCTGTAGACTTTGCTGTGAGGCCCCTCATGGTCCTTTGTGGTCACTGTCACCCTCAGCCCAGCCCACTCCCCTCTACTTCAGCTGTACTGAGCTCGTCACCCTCTGTAGACGCAGAATGAGGGGCCCAATTGAGGGGGAGGATTATGCTCTTCTCATATAATATTGAGTGGTCAGCTGTTCGTGGAACTTATGGCTCTCTGACTTTGCTTCTTCTTTCCAACCAGTTTACTAGGAACATGCCCTGATGTTTTCAGACCTCCCACTTCAGCCCAGCTGGACTGGGTCTTCAGTCTGGAAAGCTCTCTCTGCCTCGCCCTACCCTGTCCTCTGGCAAACTCTTCGTTGTGCTTTAGCACTGGGCATGTGTCCTCTCTTCCATGAAGCCTCCCCTCTCAGGCTGGGTCCACTGTGTCCCTTGTCTGTCTCCCAGCACCTGATGTAGCGTCAGGCACATAGTAGGTACACTGCAAATGATTACTAAACATGTGACAATTCCACGGACTCTAATGCCAACTGTAAGTGCCTCTAAGATTGATTGGCCAAGTGAGTCGACAGAAAAGCGCTGGCCTCTAACGGTGCGCAGGGCTCTGGGGACCCAGGCGCTCTTCACTGAGAGAGCTGGGTGAGTGGCTGGCAGGGGGGAGGGGAGGGGTAGTCACTTCCAGCTGGGGTGATCAAGGGAGGTTTCATGGTGGTGGTATCTGGGCTGGGCCTGGGGGATGAGTTGTGGGGAGCTCCCCAGTAGGCTCTGCCACCTTGGGCATGCTGAGTATGTTCCAGAGGGGAAGGCGACTGCTCTGCGGGGGTTCCCTTTCCCAGGGCAGGGCAGGGACAGCCCCACTCTGAATAGGTTAGGCATACTAGCCAGACAGTGAATGGACAGGCAAGCGGAGGACTCCCTCCGGATTTGAGAAGTGCTGGAAAAGTCGAATGGTGTTTTGAAGGTAGGTGATGGGAGCAGAAGAGACCCTGATGGACTCTGGGCTGACAGATCTCCTTCCAGATAAAGGTGTGTAGAGGTGTTAGTGGGTAAAATCCACTCAGTGGCCAGCACTGTTCACTGGGCACACGGCCTATGCTAGAGATACAGGTTCCCAACAGTCCTCACTCAGGGATCCGTCCTCCGGAAGAGGAGGGTAGATCTACGCACGGCCAGCAATAACACGGGGCCAGCAATAGCATGGGGCTGCTGCAGTTGAGGATGTACCTGGTGCCACCAGAGGGCTCCTAGTATTGGGTAACAGTTACCGCCTGCCCATGTTTACGAGGCACTAGCCTGGCGGCTTTTTGTGTCATCTCCTTTAAACTCCCAACCACCATATGCAATGGGTCTATTGGCACAGATGAGAAAACTGAGGCACCGTGAGGTTAGGTGGGTCATAGAGTTAATAACCATCGTATTGGTCAGGATTCCCCAGAAACAGAACCAATAGAACATGTCGTTGGCCCTCTGTACCTGTGGTTTTCGCGTCTGTGGATTCAACCAACTGCTGATTGAAAATATTTGGGGGAAAAAAAAAAGCTTGTGGCATCTGTACTGATCATGTACAGATGTTTTTTCCTTTGTCACTGTTCCCTAAACAATGCAGCACAACAACTATGTACACAGCACATGAAATGCAAATACATGTTTGCACTGTGTTAGGTATTGTAAGTAATCTAGAGGTGGTTTAAAGTATATGGGAGGATGTGTGTAGGTTATTTGCAAATACTGTGACATTTGATATAAGACTTGGACATCCATGAATTTTGGCATCAGTGAGAGATCCTGGAACCCACCCCCCATGGATGTGGAAGGACAGTTGTACATATTCATATGTAACATATATGATTGTTTTAAGTCATCCTTGTTACAGGAATATGATTTATTTTTAATACATATGTATTATATTGATTTATGTATATTCCTATACATATACACATTTACTTTAAGGAATTGGCTTGTGATTATTGGGGCTGGCAAGTCTAGGGTCTGTAGGCCAGGCCAGCAGGCTGGAAACTCAGGCAGGATTTCAATGTTATAGTCTTGACATATAATTAGTGCTTCTCTAGGAAATGTCAGTTTTTGTCCTTAAGGTCCTCACTTGTTTTGGTGGGTCCAGCCCACGTTATCAAGGGTGGTCCCCTTCACTTAACGTCAGCTGTTTGTCGATGTTAATCACAGCTACACGATACCCTCACAGCGACATCTAGAATAGCATGCGACCAAGCGGCTGGGAAATGTACATGGGCCAAATTGACATATTTCACCATCACAACCAGCAAGTTCAAATTTAAATTCAGGTTCATGAGGCTTCAAAGATTTGGGTTTTAATCCCTGTGCTGACAAAGGAAATACTTGAACCAGTGTCATAAGGAATGAACAGGAGTTTACCAGGTGGCCGAGAGGGAGAGAAGTTCCAGGTAGAGGGAACAACCTGTGCCAAGGTGAGAAAAAGCATGGAAAAGTGTCGAGGCTGTGTGGCCAGTTGGCCTTGCAAGCCACACCTTGGGGACTAGATTCTATCCTGCAAAGGGTGTCAGGTCATGTTTGTATTTTGGAAAGATCCCTCCAGCTGCTGGGTGGAGTGTGGAGTGGTGGAGGGAGAGCTCAGTGTGGAGGTGTTGAAGGAGGCACGAGTGGGAGGTGACAAGAACCTGAACTAAGCACTCTGTGTAGGGGAGAAGCCAAGGCGTGTGGCTCACGGGGCCCCCTCTAACACTCTGGGACGTTGCTGACATCAGCCTCTGCTGGCATCGCCTCATTCCGTCATTCCTTCACCTAACGCTGGGGACTCAGCAGGGAGCAAACACGTGACATCCCTGCGCTCAGGGGGGCTTACGTCTCAGTGGGGAGATGACAGTAAACGAGTGAGGATGATCCCATCCGTGGCATGTTGAGGGGGGAATAAAGCCAGGAGAAGGGGATTAGGCAGGACGAGTGACGGGTCAGGGCTTGTGGATTTAGAGAGAGTCAGTGGGAAAGGCCTTCCTGGGAAGGTGACATTTGAGCAAAGCCCTGGGGAAAGAGGAATTGCAGGACAGGGCTGGGCTGGAGAGGAAAAAGCAGCACGGGAAGGAGGTGATGTCACAGCTAGGGGCCAGATTCTGTATGGCCTCGTAGGCCATTTGGGGAGCTGTGAGAGGGCATTTTTATTTGTATGTGCGTGTATGTTGCTTTTTTTATGTTTGTATCTGAGGTGCATATTCTTTCATTCTTTAAACTGCATTGTTGAGGTGTAATTGACATTCGGTAAACTGCATATACTTAAAGCACACAGTTGAATAAGTTTTGACATATGTATACAGCCGTGAAACCATCCCCACAGCCAGGATATCGCGCATGTCCGTCACTCATGTCCCTTTGTGACCCCTCCCTCCTTCCCCTCTCTACTCTGCATCCCCAAGCAGCTACTGATCCGCCTCCTGTCCCTAGAGATTAGCGTGTGTTTTGTATAGTTTTCTATAAATGGAATCACACGGTATGTACTGTTTTTTTGTCTGGTCTCTTTCACTCGGCGTAGTTATTTTGAGTTTCACCCATGTTGTTGCAGGATCAATAGATCTCTCCTTCTTATTGCCGAGTAGCAGTCCGCTGTATGGATATACCAACGTTGGTTTATCCATTCACCTATTGATGGACCTGTAGTCTCCGTGTTTTGCTTTTGACCGAAGTATAAAATACACACAGGGAAGTGCCCATGTCACAAGGGTATAGCTCACTTCCAAGCTCACCCTGTCCAGGCTTCCAACAGCACAGATCAGTTTCGCCTGCTTGGCTGCTCTACGGCATCCTACACCTCGTGTTTGTGTTGCTTCTGATTGTAGATTGCTCAGTCTTTTGAGCAATCTCAAAAAGTTGTAGATTGCTCAGTCTTTTCATTTATCTGTTCTACCATTGCTGGACCTTTAGTCGTTTCCGGCTTGGGGCCATGATGAATAGTGCTGCCTGTGAACATTCTGGTCCGTGTCTGTTCGTGAACACACGCGCACTTCCTGTGGGGCATGGACCTGGATGCAAGTGTTCAGCCTGGGGAGATAAAGCCGCCACCATTTTCCAAGGTGGTTGTATCAATTTGCACCCCCAGCCATGCAAAAGGGTTCTAGTCGTTCCACATCCTGACCGACACTTTGTGTTTTCCCTCTTTTGCATTTTGTCCATTATGGTGGGTGCAAGGTGGCATGACATTGTGCTTTTAATTTGCATTTCGTGGAAGAGTTTCAGCCAGAGTCGTGGGGTGATGGGGTGTCCGCGGCTCACCATGTCTCCCATTTCTTGCAGGCCAGGTGCTCGTCCACTGCCGCGAGGGTTACAGCCGCTCCCCGACTCTCGTCATCGCGTACCTTATGCTGCGGCAGAAGATGGATGTCAAGTCTGCCGTGAGCATCGTGAGGCAGAACCGTGAGATCGGCCCCAACGATGGTTTCCTGGCTCAACTCTGCCAGCTCAATGACAGACTAGTCAGGGAGGGGAAATTGAAACTCTAGGGCACCCCGCTGCCTCCTCTTGAGAGGTCTGCCGGGGGGGCCCTGGTTGAAGGTGTCCCAAGCCGCCATGTTTAGGAAACACACTGTACCCTGCTCCCAGCATCACAAGGCACGTGCCCACAAGTCTGTCCCTACACAGTCCGGGGCCACTTTCCCCCTGGGGAGCACATAAAGATGCTTGCTGAGGAGGGCATCCTCGTTCCCTGAATGTCCTGTTGTAACTTATGTCCTTTTTCCTGGGGTGTGGGCTCAGCGGGCGAGGGCCTGTGGCCTGCATGCTTCTCCTGCCCAGGGCAGGAGGTCTGTGGGAGTGTGAGGCCGGAGATGCTCGCAGGGGCCCCTCGCAACCTCCCCTCCCTCACCCCCAAATCCTCTCCTGAGAGGCAACCTCGGCACCTGAGCCCTAGTAAAGGAACTATGCAAACGCAGGCCCCCTCCTACCACGTCTGTGCCCCTGGTGTCCCCGCAGCCTTCCACACCCCGCACACGGGCAGATTCTCCGTCACAAGCTCTGAGGCTGGGACGGGGGTGTCTGTCTGTTGGTAGTGGATGGAAATTCCCACAGGAGGCTGCATTTTAATGATTTCCTTGGGGTTAATTGGGTGGGCAACAAATTCTCCTGGAAGACTTTCCTAAATCCATAGAGTTTTTAAAATGCGAATCCTTGGATGGTTGAATTCAGAAACCACGGCTTTGGACTATGTCCCTTGGACCTCTCTCAGTCACTTTGTCTGTTAGAAGAGCGATGCTTTAGGCATGGTTTTATTTTTCATTTTTAGAAAACAAGGTGTTGAAATCCAGCCTATTTAAAAACCCCACCATTTGGAGAATTACAAGGGTTTTGTCCTGAATTATAGTGTTGGTGAGCCCAAGCCACTTGTGCTAACTGCTTTTTGTCTCAGTTGCTATTCCTAGACCCGAAGGAGGAAGCTAGCCAGTGACAGCGTGTGCGTGTGGGTGCGTGTGGGGGTGTGCCTCTCGGAAACATGGTCCTAGGCACACACCCTGCCCACTTACAGGTGCCAGTGGAGGGTCCCTGGAGAGACTCAGAGACATGGCAGAGTGGCCAAATGGATCCTTTATTGGTGGTAGAGCAAACAAATAACCTTTTAAAAGACTTTTTAAAGATAATACCAGAATGCACTAGCACCCATATGTGTGCACATTTGCCAGAATATAGGAGTTGTGTTTTGGACACAGTCTTGTTAGGATTTTATGTTATTGTTGTCATGAAAAGTGGTGAAATATTGTTTATCTTCAGGGTCACTCTGGGCAGAGAGGTAGTCCACAGCCATGCCCCTGGCACCAGCACATGGGTGTCTGATAAAAGTTTGTGGAATTAAACTCTTTTTTAGCGCCAAATATATATAGGCCAAATATATATAGGGCATTGTTCTGGTGGGTGTATCGAACTCCCAGAAGCCTGAATTCATGGTAGGATCACTTGCAAGTATTTGCAAAGGAATCTTACCTGAACTGAAAGAAATATCAGGGACTTTTGTTAACTATTTAAAATTCAGTTTTAAATTTAGATCCAGGCAGTGTTAATATGTCAGGGGGGGAATGTGCCTTTTTCAGAGTTGACTGGAAGCTCCCAGCCAGGACCATGAGAAGCAGGTGTGTTGCAAGGCCCCACTTCCAGGTGTGAAGATCTCTGATCACACAGGAGTGGCCCTGTGCAGCCTGGATATTCACTGTCCCCTATTCTGTGTGACCACAGCAGCCCTGAACAACTAGGATCTGTCTTCTTTTCCAGATGTGGGGCTGTCCAGGCAGAGCCACTAAGTGAAATGGCCATCCTCTAAACTGTGTGCCTCATGTCACAGTTTTCAGGTAGCCTTCCTACTTAATCTAACTTGAGCCTCACAGTAACCCTGTAAAGTGGGCAGAGCTTATCCACATATTGTGACCTTTCAATAAAAAAGGGACTGGGTTTCAGAATGATCACAGGCGTGGACCCCAGCGTTGCCCGGCTCTTTAAGGCAGAACAGAGGCAAGAATTCAGGTTTGCTGCTCCTTGAAGCTAGATTCTCTCTTTAATACAATACTTCTCAAGAAATGAGCTCCCCGGGAGTATCCAGCTATGCTGCTCACACCCTTGACCCAGCCCTGGAGAAGGAAGTAAAAGGGTAGGTCCACAGTTGGGTTAGAATGTGCAGCTCTTGTTCCAGGCGACATGTAGCACCCCTAAGTCAGGCCTTCTGCTCTGCTCCTGGAGGAGGCTTGGGCTGGGGCTCCCCTCCCATGCCCAGGTCCTGGTCACCCCACAGGACAGCCACAGCTACTTGGGTGAACACAGCAGGTCGGTGTGGCTGGTTAACTAGGACCTCCGGAAGGCCTCTTTGTGTGGACATGAGGGAGAAAAAGCCATTGGGCGAATTACTGCCTTTACTTTGGGACTACTTTTACGTGGATAACTTAGGATTTCTTGATAGTTTTTCATCCCAGAAACCTCATTATTTGCTTCACAAGATTTAGGTCCTAGTACTTTAAGTAAAATATTAATAAAATTCTACTGTGTAAGAGCCAACACATGCCCAGCTGTGAGTGGGAGCTGTTCCTGGACAGTTTTCCACCCCCTGGGAAGTGATGGGATAGGAACTCAGGGTGCCCTCCTTCCTCCCCAGACCTGATCCCTTTCTTCAACCAACAGAGCCCCGTCCAGGCAAAATCTGAGGGCCAAATGGTTTTCTTTGAGATCTTAAAGCAGTATAGATTTCCACAGGCTGGTCTGTTTCCCTGCCACTCTGAGTTATCTTGAGAGCAGAAACCTCCACCTATCAAATGAGGGGACTCATCTAGAAGACCTCTAAGGTGCCGTTTGGCTCTGAGTGGTCTCTAAGAATCCCTGCTTGAAATGCATTATTTAATAGCACCGCCAGGAAATTAGGGTATGTGAGTAATAATATGCTGGCCAGAAGGTGGCGCTGCATCCCACCTGTGGTGATGGATGGTTCAGAAAGGGGAATGTTTGGTGCCTTTTGTGCTGCAAGTTAATGTTAAGATGCTAATGTTTTAATCAAAATAAGCACTGACCTTAAATATAAAGATATGACCTTTTCTCACAGGAAATTTTCTTTTTCATAAAACGGGTGTCAGAAATAACTGAAGAGCCAACAACAATGGTCCTTTCAAGTCAAGATTTTATCCTGATTGGAAATAGAGACCATCTCAAGTTGAGAGAGCAGATTGGTTGAAAGCTTAACTTTTGTTCCCTCTTACTTCCTGCCAAATTTTCGGGTGATTTGATTGTGAAAGAGTGAATTTGCTGGACAGAAAAGGGGAAGGTATCAAATTGGTTAACAAAAAAAAACCCAAAAACAAAACAAGTTTAATGTTCATTGTATCACAAATCAGTGTTAAAACACTAAAATTGTAACCAAAATAAATGTCTTACATTACAAAGAAATCGTCTTGTTTGTTCTTCTTATCAGAGTTGATTTTCTTTTATGCTTCTATGCTTAGCTTTTATGTTTACTTTTTCTAACTCTTTAAAATAATTATCATCTAAAAACTATCCATCCTCAGCTAGTTGTAGGTTCCATGAGGGTCCCCATGCAGTAGCTATTTGTGGAACATCTCTCCAGTACCAGAAATTTTCTGTTAGGAATATTCTTGGGTACAGTGGCTCACCCAAATGAGGAGGGTAAGATTTGTGTGCTTAAGAAAGTAGAGAACTGGGGTGACAATTTCAAGTTGGCCTCCCATGATGATTGGGTGGCATTTTGGGATTTGAGTGATCCTACTAACAGGCAATCCTAAAATATATCCCCTGCCCCCAGATACCTTAAATCTCACTATTGGCATCATATTTCTTTTCCCTCTGAATAATAATAATAAATAAAAAAAATTGAGAAAGTGGGTGTCTTTTGTCCCAGACAGAAAAGGCCTGAGCAGAGAAAGAGGCTCTCTAGACTCTATCCCGCCTCTGTCACGTGTCAGTTAGACTGGCTCACCATTTGTCAAGCCTCTTTGACAACAAAATCTTGATGATTTTACATAAAATCTTGAGGCATAGCACTACTAGATAAAACTGGTAAAAGTGTTTTTTAAGTATAAGTGCTAAAAATATTTAATGAAAAGGTAATACTATACATATATAATAATAAGTTTAAACAATACAAAAGGCTTATAGTGAAAAGTGAAACTCCTCTTACCCCAAACCTTTAATCTATCTCCCCAAAGGAAGCCACTATTATGTATCATATCCTTCTAGAAAAAGCCCATGCATATGTACATATGTGTATAGATAGAGATCGGTATGCTTTGTTTTTTTCTAAAACTATGTTTTAGTTATTTCTTAGAGTTCTACCCCATTCATTTTAACAGCTACCTAACATTCCATTGCGCATGGGTACGCAAATAAGGATGGTGATTTGGATATCTCTCAGTGCAGACAGCTGCCTAAAAAAACGAGACTGCCCTCCAAATCCAGGTATTCTCTTCTTACCACTGACCAGTGGGAGCAAAATCTGTTTAAAAATGCAGCCAATAAGGAGAACATTCAGTTTCCATTAATTAGAGACAGGAGCTTCCTTGAGAACCAAGTAGAGAATGACACCATGATGATCTTCGAGGTTTCTTCTGGTTCAAATATTCTATGGTCTTAAGGAGTCAAAGGAGCATAATATACTCTCCAAATTTGGCCTGTTTTTCAAAGTCTGGTCCAAATGCTGTGTCTTACCATGAGGATCCCAGCTCCACCTCGGGGGGATGAAATTGTTCTCTCCTTTGAAGGCCTGTAACACTTTGTCCTTTCAAAAAATGCATCTGGCCAGGATGTGGAACGACAGGACTCTCATTTCTGGTAAGAATGCAAAATGGTACAGCCACTTTGGATGACAGTTTGGAAGGTTAGTTTCTTGTAAAACTAAACATATTCTTAACTATACAATCCATCAGTTATGCTCCTTGGTATTTATCCAAATGATTTGAAAACTTACATCCACATAAAAACCTGCACACGAATTTTTTTAGCAGCTTTATTCAGAACTGCCAAAACTTGAAAGCAACCAAGATGTTCTTTAGTAGGTGACTAGATAAACCATGGGTCATCAAGACAGTGGAATATTATTCAGCACTAAAAAGAAATAAGCTATCAAGCCATGAAAAGACACAGAGGAAACTTAAATGCATATTATTAAGTGAAAGAAGCCAATCTGAAAAGGCTATATTGCACATGGTATGATTCCAACTACATGACATTCT